CGTAGAAATGATAGAGTGAGGAAAGCCTGCATCACGCAGCCTCGCCACCTGATAGTTAACGCTGTCAAGCATACGATGGGGACAACTCTTATTGAGGGCGGACCTTATAGCGGAAGTGGCTATACCTCGTTTAATCAATTTCGAGTGCCCTGATCTGAAATCAAGAAGAGACTTCTTTGACCTCGGTTGATAGGTCCAACACACATGTTCCGCTTTGAAAGACAGTCTAAGGTCTAAGAACTGCAACTCCTCCTTTTCAGGAACCTCAATAGTAAACCTAAGACCTTGTCCCTGTTCATTAAACAACTTTACGACGTCCACAATCGATCTTTGGAAATTTAGCCTATTGACGAAAACCAAATAGTCATCCACAAAGCGGAAAATTCTCAAAGCTAATTCACCTAGGTTATCATTTATTTTGCGGTCAACGAAACTTAAAAAGATGCTGCTTAGTACTGGCGCTACGCAGGAACCTATGCACACTCCTGCCCTTTGGATAACTGTCCTTCCTTGCCACTGAACGATCGTGGACTTCAAGTAAAACTCCAAAAGCTCTAGGAAGCTAGCAACCGGTATTTTGCAACTTTCGACGAAGCCTAACTCATTCATTTGTCCCTCGATGGTCTGTTGCACGAATTTCAATAACTGTACATGAGGCAGGGAATAATAACAAAATGTCCTTCTTTGTCAGCCTCTAGAATGCGCAAATTACTATTCGCACAGAAATCAATCAGAGGTCCTAACCTTCTCGAACACCTAGAATCCTTCGACGGTTTCAACAACACATCGACGCACTCAGACACACACCTTAGTCTGTCCTCCTCCTCAGCTCGGTGAGCCACTGTCCTGGCTAAGACGACCTTATCCAGCTGTTTCAGACGCGGCTCGAGACAGAATTTGGGCCCTAGTTGAAGGACCTGTAGAAACTTGTCTGGTACTACTTGGTCCCCGATAATGGTCACATTCCCTGTTCCTTTCACTTCTTTCTTCTTAGGTAGCGAAGGTCGAACTTGACTCCATAAGAACTCCGTAGCGTGGTAGGACACTTTAGTCCACTCCTTCAGGAGAAGCCGTCTTCGCGTTTCGGAAGCCTCTTTCGCACAGGCTAAACGCAAAAGATCCTTGTACACCCTCACGTGTTGCCACCACTCCGCGCGTAAAATGCGGCACATCCTCCGAGCGTGTCCCTCAGACGGAGTCATCCACCCACACAAAGACTGCAGGTCGGGAGGGCATAGCGACTTCTGGCATACCAAGACGCAACTCTTGCTTTGCACACGGTAAACGGCTATCATCGACGTCAAAAGCCGGGATTAGTCAAGAAGTCATTAGAACATGGAAAAGAGCCCTTTGTACTAGAATAACGTTGAGCAAGATGAAAACTGGGCTAGTTGGTGAGCATTCATCGTGGTTAACAGCGCGAAACACCCGGACAGGAGGGATAGAAGGACACGGTACAGCGCTGACTTTCAACTGAAATTTTTATTGAAAACACGAGAATATATATATAGACAGAACAGAAGACCTCGTGACCAAACCAGCCCCCTCAATCGATAAAATTATACACGGCGACAAGGCTTTGTCATGTGCACGCAATCTTGCCACAAAAATAACACATACTTCAAACTGGTGAGCATTCATCAAACGATGAATGCTCACCAACTAGCCCAGTTTTCCATCTTGCTCTGAATGTTGAGCAGTATTGGTGGGCGCTGCGGATGGGGTCTGCCGTTTTGATTATTATTTCGCCACTTTGGTGCCGTTCAAGGTACCGCTAAGGGCGGACAAACAGACAAATGTACAGATAGACAGACAGACGAAAAAGTCTCCAAAAAGACTATCGTCTTAAAAAAAAAAGGAAAACATGCGCACGCGGGAATTCCATGCGCTCTGCTGTCAGCTGCGGTGTTCACCGCCACCAGAATCTGCGCCCTCTCACGGTAGCCGGGAGCGCGAGGCGATACTTGCTCATTTTGCTGGAGAGCACGGCGATCGGGACGGCCGGAGAGAAACACGCCGCGCGCCCGCTATCTCGGTGGCCATGGTTGCGGTTCACTTGTCTTTACACTAGGGTGCCGCGCTACGTTCAGCACGGAGCCTAGTAGAACGTACATACTCGGGCGTGGTTCGCTGAGAAGCCTGGTCACGCTTTCACCAAGTGCGATCTACGGTGGTGCTTTTAACGAAAGCGAGGACGACTTTCTTGAGGGAGAGAATTACGTGCCTCCACCAGACAGCGATTCGACAGAAATGAGTGACGAAGACGACGACGATGGCGGTAGAGAAAACACCTTTGCTGTTCTGCAAAACTTGAAGTAAGAACCCCAACCTGTACCCAGAGAATAATTTGGGTGGTATCATGCGCTGCCCAAACATCGCTAAAAAGTTGCCTGATGAATGCAGGAGCAAAAATAAATATCTGGTCAGTTTTTCTTCCACAGTTTGTGCTACTCTTCGTGATTCCATCGAAAGAATTTCGGACTGGTAGAGGCGGAAAGTGGGTAAAAGTTTTGGACTGTGAAGGGGGATTCATCAACTGGTACTTCTTTTGTGGACGGCTACCGTGCTGTGCATTTTCCGCCTCAGTGGCGCGGTAGCACTTGGATGCTGCCCCGAAAGTCGCGGGTTCGATCCCAGCTGTGAACTGCTGGAGGCCACTGCACTGTGCGATGTCAGTGCGCTCTAAAACACACCTAATGGTCGAAATTGTCACAGCCCTCTTCTACGGATCTTGACTATGGGACTTAAGTACACATATATTATTTGTATGCAGATGAGCACTTCCGCAAATTAACGCCGTGGCAGGGCGTATCCTTTCCATCCTAGTTTCAAGAAAATGTTCACGGCAGTGAATACTATCGTGTTCATCATAGTGAATCGTGAATATCATAAAGATAGAAGAGGGTGGTACCCTTTGTAAGCTCCATGGTAAGGGCACCAGAAGAACTTGTTTTTAGGCGAGTTGATGCATTAGTTAGCTGAACAAGTCGTAACTGGCGCAAAACTATAGGAACATGAAAAAAGAGGGGAGGAAAAAGACAGATACCGAAGTCTTCCCCACTACTGCGCATGTGTGGAAGTTTACCTGCTTCTCAGCCTGCAGCGGCAATAAACAGTTGGTATAGTTCGGTTCCCGTTTGCCTCTTTCCTCCCCTCTTTTTCATGTTCCTAGCTTTGCGCTAGTTACAAAACATTATGCTTGTTAAAAGCCCTTGTGCGGTGGAAGCAATGGCTACATTGCACCTAAGCTTCGAAGAGCTGCGCAGACTGTGATGGAACGCCCATTTTGGAACTGCTTCGGTGACACATCCCCCCCAAACTCCAGATGCTCGTATGACCCGCAAATGTCGGAAACCCTGATCCTGAAGCAAAAGCCCGGTTCACAGCAATAGCCCAAGTGATCACTCTCAACATAACAGTACACCATCCTGTGGATGCCCATCACCGCCAGTATCGATAACACAGTGTGCCCCAGCAGCTAGCCCTAGAAAGAGTTGAAGAAAAAAAATGTTACGCACTCTATTAAGCCTTGAGAGAACACGCATTGCTGACATAGCACACGACAAAATATTCTTTTGTGTTCTACTTAAATGCCTAATCATGCAGGATTGCGATTTCACTTTTGAAGCAAGGCAAAAACTTCCACCAACGGAAAACGCCCGATTAGACAGTTTATATTGTTCTTGCTATTAATTGTTCGTTTTTGTCTGCTCATGGCAGTTGCCCGCAAAATACAAAAAATGGGCGCAATAAACATTTGTGCCTAAACTGCGCAATTGGTACATAGTATGGCGTTACAAAGGGAATGGTAGTAGTTAATGGGCGCCGAAGTACCCAGCTGCTATCTGAGTGTGGCTGCTATCATAATAATAATTGATTGGGTTTAACGTGCAAAAATCACGCTATGATTATGAGAGATTGGAATTCGGGTTTTTTTAACGCGCACCCATATCTTGGTTCGATCCAACCGATTCAGCAGTCGAGCACCATAACCACCGAGTGGCTCCAAAGCGTAGCTGCATCAAGGCCTGTTATACAGGAAGCACAACGTAGCAAGGTCTATCTGCGAATCATGCCCTGGTTATCACTTTTGATCAGACAGAATTTCCGAGTTCGTCAGAGAGAGGGTGAGCCATGGTCGAATCAATTGACATATGTGACAACACACTCTTCAATCCTGCTCAAGGGGCGCTCGTGTATTACCGATTCGTGGCTCGACACTTCATCACACATTTCTCTTTCTTCTTCGCGTTCATTGAAAAACGAAGCGATCTAGGCGCAAACTTTCAATCATCTTCAGAAGCGGACCGGCGGTGGACACGCCCTAGTCATTCTCACGGTACAACACGAGGTAAGATGTCAACTCGTTTTAAGAGATCAGGGGCACCATGGGCTCTTAATGTTCGAGTCGTTCTTGTTCTTTCGAGTCGTTCTTGCGACTTTGAACAAATGTTGTAGCTCTTGACCTGCACGAAGTTGCATTGGCACAGCACACGCAGACTAATCGTCAGTATATGAAAGTAGATGCTAAGCGTTCGTTCGTTCATTTGCTTGATTTTTCTCAGTAGGCTTGATTTACAATTTTTGAACTCTTGCGGTGAAGTACCCGTGTCGGCTGTCTTGTTGTGGTGTAGCATAGCGGTGATTTTTGTGAAAAGAAAAATAAGAATCGTTACAGCACTGCAAGCGTTTTGTAACCGCGAAGAGTGCTCACATAAAAAAAGTGCAACCGCATAAGCGTGGGTATACAAAACATCAGCGTTATGACAGCCATCACCTTTGTGATGTTTGTCCACAAGCACCTCGGGCAAGTGTAAATGGCACTGCATGCGGAACTTTTCGGCATCTGTGTTTCACTTTGCGTATTGCGTATTTTGGCTTAAGTACTGTCGTAGGCGCGTGAATGAATTGCGTGTGTTTTGCTGCTTCTTTAAGGTGTGGAGCTTTCACTGAATGCGTCTTCGTCTGGCATTTCTTCGCAGAATTTTCATGGCAGACCTGCGATCAAACAGCCGTATTCTCAGCATATCGCACCCCTCTGCAGTGTTCACGAGTTCCCGGACCTCGAGTAGTGCGTCCTCCGAGCACGCTCGTCTTGTGGAGAGCGACGGGGAAGGAGACGATAATGAAGTGATTTTATTGGATGCCCGAGCAAGCATACAATGTGAGAAGAGACACCACGCCGATGACGAGGTCACCACCCAGGGTACGATAAATGGAGAAGATCAACGAGGCGAATGTCCCCAAAAAGTGGCTATAAAAGCGCTAGCGCGTAGTCCACGTCACCAGGTTCAAACTGTACCCGAAGCAGAAAGCTCCAGATGTAGGACGTACGACCCTATCGCTTCCACAGAGGCTTCTTTAAGGCATAGCTTCACTTCAGGGGATCAGCCTCTACAAGAGCATACACGTTCAGAGTCAATAGAAACTTATGACGACCTTCGTTCGTATGGTTTTTCACACCGCACTTGGTTTGAAAGGCGAAGTGGTCGCTTGTGCTTACTGATCAGTATTGTCTTTATCTTTGTGGCCGCTATCGTCGCACCTGTTATCACCATCCTCCAGAGCCTTAAGCCGACGCCTACCACTCCAGTACCGCAGCCGCCGTGGCTTCCGTGGCGCAATCGCACGGACGACAATACGTTCCCCCGCATATTGCTGTGGAACACGCTCGGGCATCGAGAGCATTTACTAGCGCAGCGGATCAGCTCCGAAGCTGACGACTGGAATATCACCATGCAGTGCGAGTCCTACGGAGACGATGAGTGTGAAATCACGAACAACCGGCACCTCCTGGAGAGAAGTGACGCCATCGTGTTTTTTGCCGAGAGCTTGAACCTGCACGACATGCCTGGCAGTCGCACGGCTCCGCAGATGTGGGTCTTCTGGGCCAGGAGCCATCTGCCCCCGATGTACCCTGCGGAGAGGCACTTGAATTCGTCCCTCTCCCTGCCGCAAGTAGCGCACTTGTTCAACTGGACCACCGGCCATCGCGATGACTCGGACGTGGTGATCCCGTACGGCGACTTTCATTGCGACTCTTCTATCGGCAGACGTCATTCTCGCCGTTCTAGGCAGCAACCGCGAAAGGAGGTGGCGTGGCTTGTGGACGACTGCGAGTTGAACCGATTCAAAACAGAAGCTTCCGGTGCTTCAGGCTACGATGGCGGCGTCGTCCACATCCGCCTTTTTCCAGGCTGTGGAGCGTCTGACTGCGGCACTCCGTCCGAGTGCGTCCGCTACATCGCCCGGCGCTACCGTTTCATCGTGGTTTCTCTAGAACCTGTCTGCTTTCCGAGTGCTGACGAGCTCATTTACGAGTCCTTCAACTACGATGTGGTACCTGTAGTTCTGACGCCACCTGGTGTAACACTGCCCCTGCCCGAGCATTCAGTCGTGAGCTCTGCAGAGCTGTACGGTGAAGGAGAATTGGCCAAGTATCTGCGAAGCTTGCTTGATGATCGTCAGAAGTACGAGAGTTACTTCGAGTGGAAGGAGCACTGCTCGGTGGTTGTCGTTCGCGATTTGCTTTGTCCTTTGTGCCACGCACTTCGAGAGATGCCAGAGCCACGGCGACAGCATCCGGACGTGCTAGAGTGGTGGACACGGCGCACTAACTGCCAAGCCGAGCCGCTATTTGGCTTGGAATCTGGGTTCGTTGATGTGTTCTGAACCAAGATAGCGACTGGTCGCATTACGTTTAAGGCTGAGCCGTGAAATCGAATGCAGCGGATATTCAATGAGCACCTTCTGGTCGTACTCAATTTTCACTTTTCGAGCCTTTTGTAACTTATCTGCGCTCGCCGTTGTACTTCCCTCACACTATTTGAACATGTGTTGTTATATTTGTGCGCAATTTTAGCCGGATAATAAACTTTTACGAGTGGCTACTGTGCACATCTTTTCTTCACGTTCAGTTTCATGTAAAGCACAAAGGTAATATTCTACATTTCACGCTGGCCCTCACTTTTTAATTCAGCTGCGGATCGTCAGTCTACTGCTTGCATGTGAGGCACACTTTTCAATATGAGTGACGTAAGCAACGTTTCACAGCAAACTGGCGGCAGCGTGATTTCGCAATAGCGGATGCGCAGCTTTCGAAAACATGAAGTTCTTAACAAAGGCAGATAGCCACATTTGATTGATGCCATCGGTCACGTTCGCTTGCTGATTGAACGAAGAAAGGTCCCACTGTTGTGGTGCCCGAGCGAGGAAGCGACGCCACTGGCGTCATTTGGGTGGTGTCAAGATACTGCGCACTTTCTGTAATTATCGCTTTAAATAATCTCATCTACTGGTGTGCTTGATAATTCTGCTTTTCGAGAAAACTAGAAACAGCTCAAACCACAGGACAATGATAAAACAAGCAGTGACATTCAACCGAAACGTTAATCCATACATGAAACGATGTGAGGAAGGGGTCCGGCGGACCAATGTATGTTAAATGTTATGAAAAAAAAAAACAAACAAAGGCGAAGCAATGAACATGATAGCAACAAGTTGGAAGGTCATGCGCAAAATGGCAAACAGATCAAAACGTGCCCCACGTTTCTCACTCACAAATTATGCAGGAGACGTACTGACAGTTACAGATGAACGCAAAAAGCATCTCAGTTGTTAATTCGCTGTGTCTGAAAAGCACGCCCTTTTCGCAAATGGAGGCTGTGGAACGATTGCAGTGACCTTTGTGCACACCGTAACTACAACAGAATCGTTCCTGTGCAAGCCCAACACCAGCCAAGATGGATGATCCTCCCCACGGGGAGATAAGGGCGCTTGAGAGATCATCCGCTCCCCTCCTCTCCACGGACCAAAGTACGCGTGAGAGATGAGAGCCGCCGTGCGCTCATTGAGCCATCTTGCTGATAAAGCTGGAAACGCAATAGTTCCCCCTCCTCTTGAGATGCCCGCCAACAGCGGTAAGTGGTAGATGTAAATAGTTGCCGTTTGAACGTTGAAGGGGGTACCCCTCCGAGGATCAGTAATTAACGCCTCGCATTCACGACGCGGAGGTCCATGTTCGATTCCGCGCGCCGGAGTCTTTTTTCTGAATTTTTTTCTTTCTTGCGTTTGCACACACCACACACACACACACACACACACACACACACACACACACACACACACACACACACACACACACACACACACACACACACACACACACACACACACACATACATATATATATATATATATATATATATATATATATATATATATATATATATATTATATATATATATATATATATATATATATATATATATATATATATATATATACGGTGCACGACGCTGGCGGCGAAATTCAGCCGAGGGTGCCCGATTGCTATCTCAATAGAAAATGTCATTGTGCACGCGGATATTAGCAAGTTCGTTGGTGAGCAGCGCTATCGATGACCCCTATGTACACTCAAGCACAAATCATCCTTTTGTCGTTCCCGCACTGGTTGGTCACCACAACGCCTTAGTATTTTTTAAATTGATGAAATATGGCACGGCCACCACATATGGAAATGTGCGTGACTATGTGGCTGCCACTAGAAGCCTTCATAAAATTTAAAATTTCCCTTAGGTGGTCATGTACTTCCCTCTTAGAAAATATAGCTTTGGCGGAAATCTGCGCTTGGTCCGTCCCGTGGATCACGCTGTTCCTTGTTTCGTCGAACCAACTGGCGCTAATGAGCACTTTCAGTGGAATCCGTACTTCCGCGCGTGCCAAATGGAACCCTCAGCAAGATACTACTACTCGATGTAGGCCGTGTTTGGAAAGTTCCCGTTTGATTATCCTCCTCGGTGGAATCGACGCCAGACTCTGGATTGGATGGATGGATGCTGTGAGTGTCCCCTTTATAACAGGGCGAAGAAATGTGTGCCACCAGTCTTGCAAGAAAAAACAACAACAAACGAAACCTTTCTTTTTATGTTGGCCTAATGTCTGATTTGCTTCGAATAAATCGATATCGTTATAACAAAAAAAATATCAATTTATGTTATATCTCTCTACCTCCTCAGGCAGGATAACCTCAGAATGACCTCAATAAGCTACGTATAAGGGTCTGTTTTCTATTTTAGATATTTGTATACACTGAGTAAAAACAAAAAGGCTATCGTCGAACCACCTGTTTGTTCGGAATCCAGTCTGAACTTCTCCCAAAATATCATCTTGCTCTGCCCACGTTTCTATCTGTAGTTTTACTGCCTGCATTGCCAACCTGTATAGCACAGATGTAATGGCTAGCGCTCTATACGAACAATGTTACTCTTTACTCACATATTCTACTTTTTCGACCATTGTCCTAGTATTGCCTTCTCCAGTAAGCACTTTTTTATGGATTTCAGCAATGCTTCTTTAGTGCCGTGCCATAGTTCATTAATGAGGTAGACAGGAACCCCATCTAAGCCCGGAGTAGTGCGCTTAAGAATTGATCCTCAGCCTTCTTCCAATTGAAATTCTCAAGCGCTACCTCTTGCTCGGTTGCTTTCTTTTTCTTACTTTAACTCACCAGAGAAGTCCTCTGGGCAACCGTTTTAGACGAATCTTCTCTTTGTTACCTTTCGGAAATAACCTAGTGCTTCGCACCCCTCCAATTTATTTCCTCCTTCATCTACCATATGTTGTTGCATTGTGGCAGGCTTCCTACCACGGAGAATTCTTGCTCCGTGCTTCTTACCTGTATCTTTTAGGTGGCTCCAAAATATTCTAGGCACAGCCTTCGTCTTTTCGCGAATCTCTGTCGTCCAGGGTTCACTTGTGCCTTTATTTTCGCCTCAACCGATTTCTGCATAATGGTTTTTTTCTCCAAATATATTTCCCATCTTTTGTTGACTTTATCTTGTGGTCGCTCCTCCTTTTTTACACGCCTGTGCTTCCATGATGCCTCACTTCGCTTAACGATCGCTTCCCGGATTTGTCTGTTCCACAAATTTCTTTGGCTTTCTCTTTGCTTTCCAGCAAATAATTTTCTTCTCCTTTTCCATCCTATTTCGTCATTACATATAAAATCTAACTAAACTCTCAGAGTTTGACTAGTAGTTTTCCTACTTTGTACTCGACTCTTGTGGCTATATTTGTTATTTGTGTGTCATTTAGATACGAGGTTCAAAACTATGACTCTATGTTCTTATTTCAAGTCTTATATCCCATTTGTAAAGTTATGCGTTTATGATCACGACCCAAGCTGTTAATGTCTTCCTCTTGTATTCCCATCTCTCTAAGTTTGCCATTGGTTCTCTTTGTCATAAAACAACAATCAATACTCGGTTGCCTGTGTCTGACCTACCACGTAATCTGCCCCACACACTTAGAACCCGCTTTAACTATCTCAACGCTATGTTGCTCGCAGAAATCTAGCAATAACCTAACATTGGTGTATGAAATTCATCAATGGGCTGTATGTTAGCATTCATGTCCCCTAGAAGGATGACTTTAGCCGCATGACCATATTCTCTGATAATGGTACATATGCGATTCACTATCTCCAAAATTGCCCCGCCGCAGTGGTCTAGTGGCTAAGGTACTCGGCTGCTGACCCGCAGGGCGCGGGTTCGAATCCCGGCTGCGGCGGCTGCATTTCCGATGGAGGCGGAAATGTTGTAGGCCCGTGTGCTCAGATTTGGGTGCACGTTAAAGAACCCCAGGTGGTCTAAATTTCCGGAGCCCTCCACTACGGCGTCTCTCATAATCATATAGTGGTTTTGGGACGTTAAACCCCACATATCAATCAATCAATCAATCAATCACTATCTCCAAATTCTTTTCCTTTAGGTGGCCCCAAAATTTTCTAGGCGCCGCCTTCTTCTTTTCGCGAATCTCTGTCATCCAGCGTTCTCTTTCACCTTCAATTTTTGCCTCGACAAGACACATAGCGTTGCCTTTCGGCGAAGTTTTGCGTAATGCAAAGCCTGACTCCCCTGCACAGTTTGCCGCACAGCTATGGCACCTGCGAAACAACGATTGAGTCAAGTATTAGATGTATTGGCACATTTACCCCCCAGAAAAAGAGCTAGGAATTTCTCTCCGCTTGTGGAACGCGTCGTCGAACCGCTAGGAAGCAGGGTTGCGGAGTTAACTCTCCAGCGTCGGAATGAACCCGGAATCATTCCACATTTTCGCGATGGTGGATTGAAAGTGTGGCGGCTTGGGCTAGTTGGTATGGCATGACGATAGTTATAGCGCGAGAACAAAACGACCGTACATAGACAAGAAGTCCCTCATGTCCTTATTGTCTTTGTGTCATTTGTTTTGTTCTCGTGGTATTACTATCGTCGTGCAATGGAATGGGGACAACACTTGCAGGAATGAATTGGGAGTAAAATTAAGCTCATTTTGCATGGAATGGGAATGGCATTGCGTTTTTTCCGAAGATAGAGTACATTTTCGTGTACGTTGCTCTTTTTCAAACTTCAAACACTAGTAAGTCTGACTCTAAATCCGTCATACGGAACTACTGTGGCGCCATATACCCCTTCCACCGCGTGATTTTCCTCTCTCGGTGGTGCCTCAGCCGCCTGCTGTTTCCCCAACGTTCACTTGTTTTTGCTTCTGCCACCGTCGTGACTCGCATGCATATTCGAAAAAAAAAAAGAACTGCTGTGATGCGTAGTGACGCTGGTGCGATACTTGCGTTTAGTGCAAACTTTCGTATACCATCTTGCGTGCCGTCTCACCACATATCACCGCCTCCTTTTTTTTTCATTACTTCCCCGCCGCCAGCTTACACACACGGACGCTCTTGGCCGAAACTCTCTCGCAAAGGTGCAGCATTCATTAGTACACGATGTACTCTGTAACCTGTTGTACAATATGAGCCATATGAACCACACATAGAGAGATTGAATAGATCTTTGAAAGCATTGGTTCGGGTTGCTAGTGAAAGCAGGCAATGCGCCACC